GGGGCAGATGGCAGACTGCAGAAGACCAGATGGGCTCATTCAAGCTTCTTAGAGGAAATGCTAGATATACATGTAATAAATAAACCATCCCTTTCATGATTGGGTGTTTTATGCTCAGGCTTTCTTCTCCTGTGACATGCAAGCAGTTCTCTGATGGCATACTAGCATGCCCTGGTGCACATTTTGGGAAATGCTGTCTATCAGGAAAAGAAACTCTTAATATATACTGATGTATATACGGATAATATATACGCAGGCATGTATATGTGTACAATTCTGAGAATTCTAAGAGAATTACTTATCTGTTGCAAAAGAAGATCTCTCTTAAATTACAAAATAATTATATTCCACAGTGTTTAGAAATCAGGTTTGGTCAGCTGTAGTGTTCATAAAAAGGCTGCACCACAGCTTCGAACAAAGATGGATCCCCCACCTCCCGGCCGCTCGACTCGAAAGCCATTTGCAGAACCTTCCATCTCCATGATTAGCTTCTGGGGAACAGCCATCCAGAGACCATATGAGTTGATTTCCTTGCTTCCTCCTTGATTCAGAGCAAGTCGGGCAGCTAGCACTTACTGCCAGCCACTGATCCATCTGCAGTGCTATCTCCCCTCTCATGGACAAATGACTAAGCCTCCATTGTCCCTACCGGAAGTCCTAAGGCTGTTCCAGTTCCAAAAGTCCTGTTCTTCCTACCAGTTGCAAAAATTCCACAAACTCAGAGCATCCATCTGCCTCTTTATCCTGCAGGTCAGCAACCCATCTGCCAACAATAAAATCTACTAACATTATTTCATTGGATCCCTAATCCTTATCTCAGTACAACACTCAGCACTCAGTCATTTTAATACTATTCAGGTATTTATACTACATTGATGATCAAGAGTTAAAGGATCAGGATTTGCCAGTTGACCTCAAATTTTTCTTACCAGTTTCAATAGTAGTTTGTGGACAACTCTGGAAAAAAAAAGTGCTTTTTTAAGTTAAGTTAATGCTTAACTTAAGCATTATAAGAAATAATAGTATGCCGTCAGCATTGACAAAATCACCATCTGTGAATTGCAAAAGGCAGCTTTACTTGGACCAGCTTCCATCCTGCAATGATACCTTTAACACCATCAAACAACATCTGCCTATCCCAGGTCCTTGGGAAGGTCTCGATAGGTAGATAAAAATGCCAAATCCAGTCTAAACATCTGACTGACTGTGCAACCAACCATAATAATATCATTTTCCTTTTCTGGAAGGGATGCTCTTTTGGTTTAAGTCAGAGGTATACAACTTTCTTCTGTGGAAGGCCATCTATGGATGGGCAGGTTGCTCTTTTGAGGTTAAATTATTGTATTATGATCCAGGTCTCTTTATGATAGTGAGATATTGCTAACAGCCACTCTGAAATGTCAAATGCATCATTAAGTTAACTCTTTATTTCAAGACCACAAGGAACTGAAAACACAGGGAGTTTTATTTCTCCAATTAAAAAATACCCACAACAGTGCAGCCTGGTTGGGCCCTCTTATTCTATTTTATATGTACTCAAGTTACAAATTCTTGGGTGCTCTAGAAAGCTGTCTAGTGGAAGGCTGAATCCATTACTGGATTGAGCTCTTCTCCATGCCTTAGTTAAAAGTGTTCTCCACCTGTCTGTGAGTCAGCAGACAACTAAATAGGCAGATTTGCCTATTCCCATTGCCAATCCCAATGGCTTGCTACCTTTCCAACATCATCAGCTGGCAGGAAAACCATCCACAATCCTGGCAGTGCTGTGATTGATGGGTTAAGCCATCTGTCAGAACTCTCTCCCCACTTGCCTGCTGCCTCTTTCAAAGCTCCCAGGTTTCTTATACTCATTGCCATATGTACTGAAAAAGTAGTGGGATCAGGCAGAGGAAGTGGTTTTGCTACTCCCTCCTTTTGCAGCACATCTGTTTTCCATTTCTTTTCAGTATCTAACACCTCTTTCCCCTTTACTATGTGAGACTTAGAAACTATTTATGCCTCAGCTTTCTCTAAAGTATGCAAGGCATCTTACAATGGGAATATATTAGTTATCACTGCACCTGAAATATACATTTCTCATAGCAAACACAACTACAAACAAGTAAAATCCTGTACTGATATAATGTAAATGTGTATCTCTCTGTTCTGAGAGCATAAGGGAAGGTGGACTGAATATTCCATTCTGACAACTGGGATAGGAGCCACAGAGAAATGCAGAAATGAATTCTATTTCTTGGACTTCTAATACTCAATTGCCCTTACTCAGCCACTGGCAACAGTCTGTGTCTATGACTTAACATTTTTCCCTGCTTCAACTAAGCGCTCTTTTCCCTACAATACAGTGTGATATCACCGCATCATGCTGGTGGAGTCTTGCTGCTGAAAACTGTCTGAATGAGGCGTGTTTGTCCTGGACATGCCTGTGTTACATGTTGCAATGAGCTAACATGACATAGGCTGGACCCAACTGGAAAAACAGTGTATCATAATGTAGAGTCAAGTCATCACTTTATAAATTGGCTTCTGAAGGTCAGAAAAAGGAGTTAAAACTTACAATTTAAATGGTAACTACACTGATGCACTTGTATAGTGAGATGGGTGGCATATATAAATTTGAAAAATAAATAAATAACTAAATGCTACCCTGCTTCTGTATTAAAAATATATCCCACAGTTGATAAATAGGTACTAGGTATGTATCAAGAAATAACCATTGTGATGCATGTTTACCGCTTGTGCTAACCTAATAGTATGGCTATAAAACGATACAAAGGAAGGCAGGGATCCCTTAGGATGCAAATTATTATTAATAATTCAATGCATTTTTATCACCCTCTAACAGAGCATGCAGAAAACATGCTTGACAGAATCATGGGACGGTTTCAGTCAACTGACCCAGGCAATGAACTGCAAGGAGATTAATTTTAGGCCCAAAAAGATCCATTTTTATTCAGAGTTAAATTAACTCCATACACACATGGTAACTCACGTTCTCCAAACTCCAAATCCAGTCAATTGCAATGTTTCATTTTCCTATCCCACCAACAAAGGTTTGAAGGGAGAGTGGCTGAAAAAGCTGTGATCGTGATTTTGAAATGTACTGCCAAAATTCCTGCAGCCGCTGAATATATATTCTCTGGGAAGGGCAGCAGTGGCTGCCAGTCTGACCTGGGAATGATCATCCCAGGTGATCGCTCTATGTAGGACAAGACCAACCACTTCACCTTTCTATTCCCACAGAGCAAAAGCTAAACTGCCCAAGCATGCAGCAGTTTTAATGTCTAACACCTCCCCCACCCCCATAAAAGCAAGTTATTCAGGCAAAAAAAATGTACTTGCTGTTGCTCCCTAGGTAGTGGTGCTATGGTTCTAAGAATATTCCAGATACCGTGGAACAAAGCCCAAAGCTAGCATGCCCTGTTCTCCAAGTATGACTGGAGCAGACAGGAAGTAATAGAGGGAAATGGCCTCCTCCTGAGCAAAATCCTCACACATCCCTATGTCAGAATGGGGTGCCCAAAATTCCCACTTGATATCCATACAGGTCTGCCACTTGTCCAAGTCTCAGTAGAATCAAGGCAAAACATGGGATAATGTGGAAGCTAGCTATCATGTCAGACTTTATACCAATGAAGAGATTCATGAGATGAACCAGGACTCTGTGACCCGAGTCACAGAAAAAAATAAACAAGAAGGAATTCAACTGTACGTATTAATTGTGACAACCTACATGAAATCCAGGAACAAAACCTGTAAGACTCTTGGACCTAGCAGGTCAGTACAGCCAGATTGTAGGGGAGAACATCTTCTTATGATCTGGTCCACACACCACACCTGTCATGCCAGGTGTCAAACTGCAAAGCAGTCACCAAGACTCCCGGTCAAGACTTTCAGAGTGATGTCATCTTTGAGAGATGCATGCAGTACTGGGAGTCAATGCACTCCCTGCAGATGTATGTCACTCATTAGAAACTGAGTTCATTAGAAACTGTAGCACTGTGTAACCTCAGTAACTAAACAAACAAAACATTGCATCTCTAATGGGGCAGAAATGCACTTGACGCATTCTAAGCTGCAGCTTTGGAAAAGAGCATTCCTCCTTCCCATGTGTCATCTATGCATAGATGGCAAAGATTCTTGTTGTGTTTGCTACCCCACCCATAGCAAATGGGGCTCTGGTTGAGATGAGGGCAACCCTTTCTATATCCCCCACTTATCAATCATTTTCACTGGAAAGCATTGCTGTTATGTAGCTTGTCTCGTTGTTGTTGTTATCATTAAACATATGTCTATGCTGCTGCAAACAAAATGACTGCTGGTAGCTCACATAGAAAAAATGTTCCAGCATTGGTGTAGGATGGGTCCCCACTTCCCTTTTTCAAAGAATAAATTATAGTGCAATTTAAAAAGTCTCCCTTTCTATTCTTCCATGTTACACAAAGCAACTACCAATACTAAGAGACTGCAATTTATAAACAGATCAAGTGTTATTTGAAACAAATACTTGAAAGTACTTGAAAGTATTTGTCGGGTTCTTTTTGTAGTACACTCCCTCTCTGCCTTAGTGTGATGGCAACATGACTGCCTATATAATATCAGCAGTCCATATTTCTGCAGTGAAAGATTTTGTTCTTTTCCTATCTCTCAGAAGCACCATTCAAAATTGTGACATTCATCATTTGTTATAGTGGACAAGATTTACACAACTGTATTCAGGAGAAAATCTAAGGGTTTGCAGAGAACTTACATGAAAATGCACACGTAAATAGTTTACTCACCAGCACTTCCAACACAAGAGACATGGAGTAGTGGCACTAAACCAAAACCTAAATTTGACTGGACTTCTTTTGTATTTAATCTTAAAATAATTTATACTTTAATTTTAATTCAATATAATTCATATGATTAGTTTATACTTATATAATTAAACTCAGGGAGGCAGTGAAGGACAGGAAGGCCTGGCGCGATATGGTTCATGGGGACACGAAGAGTCGGACACGACTTAACGACTGAACAACAACAAATATAATTAACACTTTCCCCATTTCTCGAACAATAAAAAAATCACAATTTGGTAATCACTTTTGGAATTCTCATGGCAGCACTAATCTAGAGAATGAAACACTTAGGAAACATTGAATAATAAACAGTATATAACAATCTTGCCATATTTAATAGTAAAAAAAAAAAAAGAAAGTAAAGTTTTATTTGGTTAGTACCACTGTGTAAACATTCTTTGGTAAAACACTTGTTTTTCTTTTCTTTTTTCTTTTGGAAAAAAAGCCCTTACACTGCATAGAGAACACATACAAGCAAACTTAAATATACATATAGTTTCATAAAAATAGAATACATCTTGGCAAACATTACTTCCAGAGTTTATTACCACCTTATACAGTGTTTTGACATCTAACACATTTTTAACCAAACTTGGTATTTGGGTTAAGCAAGTTTTCATATAATTTTAAGTTTAAGTCATCCCTTGAAGAAGAAAGTTGAATTATCTTCTTTGCACAGTTCACCAAATTTCCTGTTCTAAGTAACCGATATAAAAGCCAGCCCTTGTTCCTAGCTTGTGCACCATATAAAGTAGCCAGAAACTGTGCACAAAAGGACAGGGAGCGGGGTGAGGGTAAATTAGAACGTAATTAGAAACAATGAAATATTGAATTAAAACATATCAAATAAAAATAAAGGTTTTTAACATAAAGTTCATGTTAGAGGAAAGCAAATATGTGGCATTTTTATAAGTACTAAAAGTCTGGGTTAAGATTTTAAATTAAATCTTAATTAACTCTTTGCCCGAACAATTGCTTCCCCATTCTCAAGTTAAGCCCCCCACCCTCCACCCATCCATTGGAGATGAGGAAGACCATGTTTTGCAAGACTTCTTTGAATATTCCCACTGAGGACTCCAAAAGCCCCCCAAACTCATTTTGGGATGAGCAGGAAGGCAATTATCTTTTCCACATTAGGGTTTTATTGCAGTATGCATTTGAAAAAGTAACATGACAGATGTATCCATAGGTATATCATTGGAGAGCAGAATTGGCTACAATTTGCTTGTACTGAGGAAGCTAGCCAGTTTGCTGCTGTGCATATGTGCAATCAACTCTACGGGATTCTCGTGACCTGTTCTGCTTTTCTTAAAACTATATTTTAATTATGACCAAGTACTATCTTACCTTAGTGTTATATCCAGGAAAGGTACTGTTTCCACCAAGTGTTAAATAAATACAATTGTGATTATGCAAATATTTCTTGTTATTTTGTAAAAAATATACCATGCTTATTTTCATACCAGGAACAATTATTTTGTTTTCATGTGGGGGGAAAAAATAAAAACATCCTTACATGTCATTCTTTTAGCGCTACATTATTGCCTAATTACTAAATCTTGCTAGTTCCAAAGAGTCGGCAGAACAATCTTTGGGAGGTGACTGCTCCAGTGTAATAAATAAAGCATGTGGTAAGATTCCAAGGATTCATGGACTATGGTTATTTTTGTCAAGATGAAATTATTGCAACAAGATTGGCAGCCAGAAAGAAGAAGCATAGCACCATTTTCTCCTCAGGTTGCACAGTCTGCAACTGTTTAAAGACGAGGCAGTCATTCTGGAAGTGTGACACCCAGCGGCATGTATGCATGTGGTTAACATACTGTGATTATTTTTGGCAGTGCTTTTCTTAGTAAGGATAAGCAGACACAGCTATATAGACTATGAAAGTGGTCTGATATTCAATGGCTCCCTCAGTGTTGTAAGACAGAGCTCTGACTCTTATCCGATATGTCTCTGGCTCTTGCAGAGGCCTCGTGGTGTACACCACTCCTTTCAAGTTCTCATCTCGGAGTGAAAAAGGGACAGTTGTGTCCTCATTCACCATAAGGAAAGTGGTCCTCGGATGCATCACTCCATCTTCAGTGTAGGCAACTAATCGGATTAAATCCTGATTGGCAGCAATCCCAAATGGGAGAGATACAAGTTTGTATTCCAAGGCGTAAGGGCTCAAGGCACATTCCAGATCATTGGGCGGGCAGTTCTTGAGGCACAATCTGAAAAGAAACAGTTGTGTATATTGGTCTTACCATTCATTAATCAATTCTTACCATTCCTTACTTTACCTTACCTTACTTTACCTAACCTTATCCACAATTGTAAAATCCAGATCATCACTATATTGGAGCCAAGATATAGTCACATTATTCTGTTTAATTATTTGTATTGAAATAAATGAAGAAGAATGCTGACAGGTAAGTATCAGCTTTAAACAGTTTTGTCTGTTTCAAAACATGGTTTAAGTATACATTTATTCATATAAACATGTGGGAAAGAAATTAATATATATCTACAAGCTTTCTGCAAGGATGAACTAATTGATTGTGTATGATAAAAGACTGAAAAAATTAGTGAAGGATAGGTTCTGATCATATTTTGCTTTTTAAAAAATTTTATTTGTGTTATTAAATTTTGGTGTACAGGCCTTTCATAGAGACTTAAACCAAAGAGACAGAAGGAAATTAGGCATCAACCACAAATAACAATGTCAACTGAACATATAAAACATATGGATCTTACATACATATTTTGCTGATGTCAAGAGTAGATGTTTGGAAAAAGCAGATAAGGAAGAAAAGGAAAGAATTAAGGGTAAAATGATCAGGAAGATAAAGTAGGAGTTGCATACCGTAAAGAAAATGAAAATGTATTACAGGTAAATTAATCTCCCAACATCATGAAAGGAATGTGGAAGAAAAGAAGTGGTAGCTGCTTGGAACAGAGCAAAAAGAATTATATCACAGAGTGCCACCAAAACACGTTGAGTTACGCCTAATTGGAGGTAGGAAAAGAATGCTTAGTAAAATTAAACAAAGAGGCTGTGAATGAGAAAAAAAAATGTATATAAGAGAATGACTACTGAGAAAAAGATATTGTATAATCTAGATAGCTACACAAAGATAGTTGTGAAGAATATAGTCAAAGAGGGAAAGGTTAATGGTTAAGATTAAAAGAGGCTGGGAGTGATCTTGATGGAGATAAAAAGTGTTTTGATAGTGGGAGAAGAGGGCCAAACAAGGAGCCTATAGTAAATCTGATTTGTGATGAAACTGAAGTGAGAACATTTTGGAAGAAGCATTCTTATCTCATACTTTTAATTTCTTTGGTTTACTGTTTCTTACTTCCATTCTGCATTACATATTTACTGAGAAATGGAATAATGTGATGGGAATGTATCTATGTAGGTAGATAAAATAAATGCATATTTTAAGTAATCACATCCAGCTTACCAGACTGAGAGACTTTTAAGTAGATTGCCAAAATAACATTAAGCAGCATTTAATACAGGCAGCACTTCAAGGTTACAGGTAGTCCTCGTTTAGTGACTGCCTTGTTTAGTGGCCATTCACAGTTACAATGGTGATATAAAAGTAATTGTATGAACAATCCTTGCATTTATGACCTTTGCAGGTCTGTAACGCAAAGGAAAGCTGAAGTAAGATCATAAGCACAGTTGCAGTTTCAATTAGTGACCATTTTGCTTAATGACCAAGTTGCCAGTCCCAATTGTACTCGCTAAACGAGGACAACCTGTATTGTTTCCATGTAACTTCTAAAAAGGAAAGTTATATATGCTAGGATTATGAGCACTTCAGATTTGCAGGCAAAAAGGTGCTTTGGGATACACACGTCATCTGCCTTGAACTCTGAAACAATCAAATCTTTTCCTGGGATCGCACAGCAGCTGCAGCAAAAGGCAAGGCTGCTTTTAGGAGTAACATGAACTTCATTTTTGCTCACAAATACATTTTTGCCTTTGGATCCAAAGTACTGCACATCCCCAATATGTTGTATTGATGATTGTGATATTTCCTTGGCTGCTATGTATTCATATTTTTGTCATTGTCATTGTAACTGCTTTGGTTTTTATTTTTAATACTGTTGCTGCCCAGAGCAACTTATTGAGATGGACGGCTATACAAATTGATTAAATAAATAAACGCATACATGCATACATGTTTTTAAATGATTTGAGGACCATGTTATGGGAAAACATGCAGTACAAGTGCAATCTGTGTTTTCATGATAATATGTACTTAAAAATAAAACCACATAGGGGTTTATTGCATGGTGGAGATTCCTATTTTGCGGGGGGGGGGGGAGTCCTTTTTTGTCAAGACTAATAGCAATGATGTTGGACAAAGATGACAACCTCCTCAGTGCAGTGTGTTGGGAGAAAGATTTTTCTCTGCATGCTGAAGAGGGATGGAATAGGTGAGGGAGACCCAGAGCTGCTTGTCTTCTCAGTAATTCATCCCTAGCCCTTTTAAACCACACATCTCTCTTGCAGTGTTGAGATGCCTTCACCTATCCAATCCCATAAGACTTTGTTAATGCATGCAATCTTTGTACACATCACTTCTATTGCAGCTTTTTGGCTTGCTTTTTGAGGTATCTGATGCAATAGGTGAGATTCATTGAGATGATTGGCCAACTGCTCCATAAATGTTCAATTGTTAGATGTAAGCAAAAAACTAATACCATCCCATGTATTATTTATGGTAAGTACATCTGTGATGACTTCCCCATTACTAACAAACTGCTACTTATCTCTTCCAACCCGCTGAGGTTTATCTACCAAAGACTGGACAATATAAAATGGCCTTCAATGCTTCAGGTAGACACTTGCATGAAAGAGTTCCTCACCTATACATGTCACTAGCATTTGTGGCAAAGACTTTCTTTTGGTTTAATTTAGGTAAGCGATCTTTTATTTTGAAATGGACAGGCAAGATAAAAGTGCTTTAAATCATAAAAAGACATTCCTGTAAATTAGGTTCATTTATATCATTCAAGGCAGTGCCTTTGAAGTAAAAGATGGGAACAAAACTATGTGAAAAAATAAGTAAGTATAAATTAAATACTAAAAGGATTCATTTTAATTAGGATGGGAAGTCTCCAAAGATCTATGGAAAGGACGAGAACTCTTTTAGAAGACTACCGGAACAGTAAAGGGCACAGCGCATACTATTGAAAACCTTCTGTTGCAGAAATGATGCAGACATGGGAAGAGAGATACAGTGAATATTTTGTACTTTTTTTCTTTTTAACTTGGAGAACTGCCAGGAACGAAGAATTTGGAGTCTATATCAGAACGTACATGTTGCCTCTGTATATATTCGTAATGCTGTTCTGAATTACCAAATCACCAAATTAAAAAAAAAAAAAAACTGGAAAAAATAAAGAGGGATGAACATAAAGCATACCCAGAAAGAGGATCTCGTTGATAGTTTGGAGGACAAGGAGTTTCTATACACCGGTAGCTTCCTTTCATGTTAAAACACATGCGGTTTGGTCCACAGTGGATGTTCTGTTCATGGCATTCATCTATGTCTGATATAATTCAAAAAGAATGACAATTTCAGATAGGCCATTTATTGATTTGAAATTACATGTTTGTTTGTATATATGGAATCAGAGTTTGTTTTACTCTGATTCCATATATATGGCACCAATAGGGGATGACACAGAAACATCATCATTATCATCATCATCATGCATATACAATAAGTGGATATTTTATGAAATATGTATTTGAATAGATAAAATAAATATCTTCTTTCCATTGTAGCCATTTGCTTCCCACCAAATATATATTAGAACATGGAGGGGGGGGAGTGGAAAAAAAGTTAATTGTTACAAATTTTAATTCCAAGTGGACACTTATTGCCTTACCCCCTTGCCTTGCTATGTTTTTGTTCCAGGCTCTCACTGAACATCCAAAAGAGTTTTAAATTAAAAAACAAAATATACAAACAAAAAACCAGATCTGAAGACTACTTGTCCCTGAATTATGATACATTGCAGTGATCCTATTCATGCTGCCATGAGGAACTGATCCCTTTTCCCTACTACCCGCATTCTTAGTGATGTGCGAAATATACACTTAGCATTGATGCTCTTCAGCATGAACAGGTAGGAGCCCTGCCCTACCTCAAAGACATGAATAAACTCTTACATGAATGAAGGCCATTATTGAAACAATGAATGCATCAAGATACTTTCTATCTATCTTAATATCAACTGAAACATCTTTCTAAGGCACTGATGAACTATAAAATGATCATTTTAATTTTTGTACATCCTCCTCCGTCGAGACATTTTCTTACCTTGACATGTTTTGCCATTGGGCATGATTCGGTAACCCATTGGGCAAAAACACTGGTAACTCCCTAAGGTGTTCCTGCATTCATGCTGACATACACCCCTGTTCTCACATTCATCAATGTCTGCAAAAATTCAAAAACCAAACATTACGATTCTAAGTAAAGCAACAAGCTAAGAGAGGAAAACTTACTTAAGGCAAGATTCCAAATATTAAATTCCAACACACAGACACAGACATATACAACTAGAGTATTGCTGCATTGGGACTATTTTATGTGTTTTTCTTAGATGATGCAGTGTAGCAAATCTGAGGAATCCTGTCACAAGCAAAGCTTTTGAAGTTGACATGTAAAGGTATTTTTAAAGCCTTTTCAACTATTAGACAAGGAGCCTCTTGTCCAATCCTTCAAAACAGAATGAAAGGAGAATGTAAAGTTGATAACTTGCTAGTTATAAAAATGTCTGTCAGTGCTACGGTATGTCTGAAGAAGTGAGAAGACTCAAAGCCTGAGATCCAGTCAACATGGTTCTGAAGGCTGGCAGAGGGCAGAATCATCACTGTCACAGTAATTCCTGCCTGCCGGGAGCCAGGAGTCTAAAATATGGCTCCCTGGGGGAAATCCCTCACTGAGTACAAAAACCTCCCTCATAGTCTCAACAAGCTCAGCATCTTTCACTCAGAAAATCAGACAACATTATTCATCATAGGATTTGGGAACTTTTGAGAAGAAATAACACTGCTATAAAGCAGTAGAATGTAACTTGAAAGCTTGTGATGCTGGAATCTAGCATCTAGACAATCTAGCCTGCCTTTATTTAAGGCTTTGGTCTAAGGACAAAATTATACTATACAGGTAGTCCCCAGTTTAAGAACAAGTTCCATTCCCAAGGTCTGTTCTTAAGTCGAATTGGTATGTAAGCCAGAATGGTATTATTGTACAATACTGTATAACTAGTATTGTGTAATTAACTCAAACCATTGTGTATTTAACTCAAATCATTGTTATTTAACTAGAATTTTGCTACAATAGGCTCCGTTCTTAACTATGAGTCTGTAAACCAGGCTTCTAAACCCAGGGAACTACCTATGTGGGAAATATATTTTACAGCATGGTTATAGATGCTCTGGCACCTAAACATTTCAAATGTTGGGCAAATGTGCCTCTACAAACATGAAAAAATGTGCCAATAAGCCCATACTCTTTGTGTCACATCTGCTGCTTGTTTGGAAAGACACATCTTTTCCACTTAACATATGTAGGTATATCCACTAAATAAGCAATATTCCTAACTAAAAAAGGAAGGGGAATTGGATAACATGGAGGTGGAGTTTAAGGGCCCAATGCAGAAAGTAAAATTCAAGTCTGTAATTTTCACTGAAAAAAAAAAAAAATCCCTTAAATACTGCATGGGATCCAATCCAGAATGGGTCTGAAACCAAAAAATTCTGTCATATTGACCTGAATTGGATCTCTTCATCTTCCTTGGAATAAGGAGAAAAAAAGATGCAACTGCTAGCAATATCTTTAAAATATCCTTTAGTCTGACCATAAAATGTTAATTGGGCATGTTCTAAAAGCTCTTAATGAGATGGAAAAAAGGGCCCTATCAACCTGATTTTTATAGCATGTCTCTGGCAATTGTACCACACATTTAAATCAAGTCCTAAATGGCAGCATTGAAAAGGGACAAATTCCATGTTTGAACCTCTCAGTGCATTTGCTTTTTTAAGCAACTCCTCCTCCCATTTCCTCCTCCTTTTTGCATTCTCGTAATAGGAAACAGTCTTCTGAATCAGTTATAGATATAAAACCGACCGAGCTAAACCATTACCAATCTTGCTTAATGACTGTCCTTTAGCAACCATTCAAAGTTATGACAGCACTGAAAAATTTATTTTATGACCGGTCCTCACACTTACAACCATCACAGCATCTCCATAGTCATGTGATTGAGATTCAGGCACTTCACAACCAGCAGGTGTTTACAGCCATCTCAGCGCTTCATGGTCATGTGATTGCCATTTGCACGTTTCACAGCCACCTTCCAACAAGCAGAGTCAATGGAGAAGCTGGCAGTGAAATCACAAGTCGCAGTCACATGATGTCTTGCTTAATGACCATGGGTGACTCGCTTAATGACCCAGCAGAAGTAATGTCATAAATCCATCGTGGTCACATGAGTTTCACTTGACGACTGTGTCACTTAGCAACAGAGTTGCCAGTCCCAATTGTAGTTGTTAAGTGAGGATATGCCTGCAGTAATAGTCTTTTGGAAGAAGAAGCTCTTAGTCGAGGGTCTAATTCTAAGCAGTGAGGATGCCTGATATATCTTGCAATCAAGAGCATTGCACAGATTGGAGAGAACAAGCAGCCTCCTACTGTACCTATTTTTGGTCACCACACCCAAAGAAGAACCTTTGAAAGTATCTTTCTGATTGGACAGGAATATATGAAGGAATATATTCATTCAGGTAGACAGGCCTTTAGGGCTTTAAAGATGAACTCTAACACTGGCAAGCAACCAGCCTTGGGTGGCAGACCCTAAGTGGAATGAGCAGCATAAAAAGAAAGAAGATGCATCATACGTACACACATATACATACATATACACACATATACAGGCGTGACATTTACCTATACATTTGTTATTTCTTGCCTCATAGCCTTCAGGGCAAGGCTCTCTAAAATTCCTTCTAGTCCTGGAGATGGGAACTCTGCTGTTCCTATACTCTGAGTAGGAGCTGTAGAGATTGGAGGAGTGCCTGATATATTGTTGAGGTCGATAGTTGTCTCTCATGGGGGAGAACTGAGCATAATTATAGCTATTGTAATAGGTGCCATAATTTGGGAACCTCTCCAATCCAGCGCAAGATTTGCCATCGCCTAATAAATGTTGTCCAGGAGGACAGATACACTTGAAGCTGCCGGGGATGTTGGCGCACTGATACGCACAAGGTTTAGGCACTTGTTCACATTCATTAGTGTCTGCTCATGGGACATGATTCCAAAGCAACACACCATGTAACAAGGGGAAGGAGAAAAACACACATAAACAAAAAAACATAAAAACTCATCAGTCTGTGGAACACGCTGAAATTACAAATGTGATTCTAAAACCACAAAACATAGACAGTACATGCATTAATCTTCTTGTGCAACAGTTGATGAAAACCATGAGATCACCTTAGCTAAACATGCAAACTGCTATGGCAAATTAAGTGAGCTCTAAATGCAGTGAACAAAATAGAGGCCTTGATTTCTCTTGATCTGGGATTTTTTTAAAGTTCTTCCAGTGTATTTTCTGAACCTTTAAATAGTTGCAAGCTCCTGCAATGATATTCAAGTGTTCTCTAATACAAAACAGAGATTGTGATCCTGTGTAAATTTACTTGGGCACAATGATACTTTGAAGTAAATTTGCACCAATTTGCATTCTAGCTTTTTACTCCTCCTACTTAAATAAAATATAGATTCTTCTGAATGACAACAAATTGAAATGCCAGACATATACTGTACTGCACATGAATCTGTAGAGAACTTTAAAAGAAGCATGTCACTTCTGTGTTAAAGGTAACCCATGCTTAAATGTCCAGATTTTGTTCAGTATATTTTCTTAATATGATTGCAATACATGCATAAAGGCCACTGACAGTGCTTAAAGCACATAAACTTTAAAGGGAGTATTATAGTTGTATGTCGGCTTTCTCCCATACAAATAGAAGATGTGAAGTGCCTGTTATAGGTAGGGACCTTTTGTGGGACAGAGAGTCCCATTCCTGCTCCGCTATGCTCATTCAAGAGAAAAAAATGTGTCCCAGTAATTGTTTAGCTTGGCCCTCAAATTGCTAGTCTGCTTATAAACTTTGTCATCAGGCAAAGAGTATAAGCAATGAAAAGAAGTCACCATTTGTTAAAAAAACATTCCAAATTAAGATCTTTTCTAATTTCATCATAGTGTAGCACAAATTTCATAAAATGTTACTTCCATTGTTCTGAAACTCGCAAGTTTATTTTATCTGGTACGGTAAAAAATTACACAAATAGTTACATTTACTGGGACTTTTATGCATTCTTACATGAAATTAGATGCTGATGGTTTCTCCCCCCAAAAAAGGTCTTAAAAGCCCAATTAGCCTCCTCTGGAAACTACTGATTTCAAGAAGTATAGCATCTTGAGCCATTTCTGCAGTATAAGGAGCTGCCAACAGTAGGTGATGAGTAAAAGAATATTATTAATGTTTATTAGGGCTGCACAGAGATTTGGATTCAAAGAGCATAATGTAATTTGGAACACATGAGGTCGCAAACATAACAGGAACTTATTAAAAGCCACCATGTCTTTCCTAGGTTCACATCCTCCAAATCATGATTTGCCATTCAAATCCTTATCTATGGATAGCCCTAAGTTTTATTCAGTTCCAGTTTCTGACTTACCCATACAGGGTCTTCCAACTCCCTGGTATCGATATCCTCTTGGGCACACACACCGATAACTTCCTAGTGAATTTTCACATATCTGATTGTATCGGCATTGGTGAGTACCATCTCTGCATTCATCAATATCTGATGAGGAACATAAAATCTTGAAGGTAAATGTACTTGCATTAGGAAATTTAATATCAGGTATTTCTCTTTCTTGATAAGAATATATCTATAATGTCACCAAAACTTCCTTGACTGCTTTTTTTTGTCATGCCTCTATTTGAAATATTTATATGTTATATGTTATAAATGTTTATACGTTAGTCAGACTAGAATCCAGATTCCTTCTAATGCCTCTGTTCTCAGAATGTGGGAATTATCTTGAATCTGCTCATTTTTGCTTCTTATACTCTTTAAAGTAATGCCACAATATTTGTCACCAGCAAGAAATGAGGAATAATGTGGAGGAGAGCTGTGTTAGCTTATGATAGCAAAAAATCAGGAATCGGGTAGAACCTTTTCCAATCAACACATTTTATTAAAAGGCCTTAGTTTTTGTGAGCTGCAGATCACTTCATCAAATGCACAGAGTGGCTAGACTGATCTGATGTAGTAAGCTGCACTTCACAAAAGCTAAGAACTTTTAATAAAATGTATTAGTTGAAAAAGGTGCTACTAGATTCTAGATTTTTGGGGCCATCATCGGTTCATGTAGATGTTTATAAGTAGTATTCATGATTATATTTGGTGATGATATCTATGATCCACGACTGTCATTCACAAATATGATAAAAAGAGAAGGAGATAACTGAAACAGCTTGTTCTCTGTTATACTCTAAAAATAATATGATAAATGTACATACCTATACATGTTCCATTTTCTGCTTTGGTCATTCCACTTGGACACAGATCAATGCATTTATAGCCACCTCGTGTATTCTTGCATAATTGGTCAGGTCTGCATATATTTTGTCTGCATTCATTCACATCTTTTTTTAAAAGCAAGATGAAATTAAATAATTAAACTGTCTCAATTTCACTGTCTCCTCATTTGTTCAAAGGGCAATCTTTCTTTTAATTTTCTTTCATGTATTTTCTGCCTCCAAAAAGTATCTTGTGAACATTTGAAATGTTTATTCACAAAATCTTTATGTGGCTTCCCTGCGACCCCACCATCTCCTCCAAAGCAGGAAGGAGATGGCATCTATTCTGCAAGCAGTGGACAACACTTTTGGATTGAGCCAAGCCAAGTTAGGAGAGTAGGGACTCCCCCGCCCCCAGCCAGTACATGGAGAAAGTGAGTCACAACAGCTGACGTTCCAAAGGATGATAAATATCTGAGAATAACTGGAAACATCAAGGCTACTAGCAGGACATCTCTCAGGGATTCTGTGTCTAAAATCCAAGCAAAAAGGACCCATTCATCGCTGAAGGAGATCTACTCGTTTGCAGCTAAATTGATCCTGAAGAGGAAAGGAATTAGACAGATGTGCCCCCTTTTCCTCATGAATTTTCCCAAGTACTTATTTTATTTAAAACAAGTGGACTGCAAGCCCAGGAGTAGTAAATATTACATCAACCCAATGAAAAACTACACTTTGAAAAGCACAGTGATAAATTGTCTGAATGCTTAGAACCCCTCATATACACGTATATTCAGTGACTGCAAAATTTTGGTTATGCTGGGCAAAGTATTCACCCACAAGTGAAAAGCCCTTCTAGTCCCACTTTGGATTAAGTCAAATTTGTACCCATGCATTTTCTGCCTTTCAGCTGATATCCTGGATCACATCCACAGTGGAAACTTCCAATGGTGTTGAAGCAGTGTTGATGACAAGGGTTAGACTCTTGGCATTCATTTACATCTGTTGAATAATAAAGACATTTTTAACATATTTCTTTCCAACAAGTTTTGTAGTGTTTGTTGTCAGAGAGCTGCCTGGTATCTTTGCTTCCAGGTAGAGGCAAGACCCAGAGGGCAGAAGGGATGGCTCCTATCCTTCCTCTGAGTTTATAACCACATTACATCATAACAATGGCATGTCTGTTTGTGCAGTTCTTTGTTGTTGCCTGGGTTTGCCATCTTTTTGCTCCTCTGTCTTTACCGTTATATTGTTTTATTATTATTTTTCTGTGTTTTTACTTTGTGAACTACCCAGAGCATCTGGGACTCAGGCGGTGTACAAATTTAATTAATTAATTAATTAATCAATCAATCAATCAATCATAGTAACAACAGCAGCAGCAGCAGCCACACAAAACCCAATGTTAGAAGCAGGGGAAAAACTGATATGTGTTCATGGGTAACAAAAACAGCAGTTTTGAGGTTGGCAGAACTGGTTCTTTTTCCCAGTTTAAATCAACATGCTTTATAGCTCAGGACTAGTTCACTCTCAAGCATTAAACCTGTATATGGAAGGAGCTCACTTCAGACTGTGCTAGCCAGGTCTTAGAGGAAGCTAGATGTCTGGTCTGTCCTCTGGCCCAAGCCAAAATGATCAATGAATGGGGAGTAGGAGACAGGCCCACAACGGCCTAAAGTGGCCAACAGGATCTGAGCAGATCCTAACTCTTGACCACATTAGCAACTACATTATTGTTGAAATGTGCTAGATGATGTCCATAACCAAAATTTCAGTGGAAGAGGAGGAAAATCACTGTTTTAAAACCGAAAGAGCTAAAGACAACTTCAAACTGCCTCAGCTGTGGGCTGGGAATAAGACAAAGTCACAAGGAGGTAGTATAAAAATCAGTTATTGAATCATGTTTGTGCCCAAGGGCATAAAGATGAGTCTAAAACTACTTTGCCTAAGTAGTGGCTTGCCTATGGATGGCAGTCCAGACACCAAATGCTTTGAAAATGAGGGCCACAAATGTCCCATGAGGGTGGTGCTATGTAATGATTGTTGAAATTTCAGCTCAATGCAGTTATAAGGCATAAGTTGAAGAAGGATGCTTGAAACCATGATACTAGCATATATTATCCCTAGCTCATCTGGATGGAAGACTATTAATAATGTTGGATACTTGGAAATTATAGAAAACCTATCAGAAAATCACAGTGTGAGAAGGCAAAATCTCAGTCCATCTATTTCAGTCTATTTCTTACTACTCTAGGGAACACCGTATCCTCATGAAAGTATTATTTAATGAAGCATTATGTTCTTTAATGACTGTGGTTGGTGCATAAAGTCATTTCCATACCTTGGCAACTCAATCCATCTGGTGTTCTTCTAAAACCAATTCCACATTGAACCACACACCGATATGAGCCAATAATGTTCTCACAGTCTTGGCCAGCCAAGCATGAATGCCTCCCTAAGGTACACTCATCAATATCTGCATCAAATAGCAATACAGAAGAATAATATGTTTTAAATGGCCATACACATCCTATTGATGTACAGTCATATCTCAGTATATCATCGTGGGAGAAACAGCATCCATTTTCTCAAGAAAGCATAGCACACATTAAAACCTCAGAAGAAGCCTAAAGGAGCATAATCCAACACATATATTGAAGCTTATCAAGGCTGTGATGTAGGAGAAAAATGGAGTTGTCTATAGGTCATCATGATCTTATCATACCTCCATGCAGCTATCGTGTTACCCTCTGTCCCTAGAGAGAAGCCATTCTATTATTTTCTATCCCTGGCTCCCCCACTCCCCACCTTTGTTTCTGAGTCCCCAGTTCCCTAATTAAGAGCACCAACCTACCACAAATATTTGCTGATGAGGTAGAAATGGATTTAAAAAGTTATGGGGGCTCCTCACCCTGAAGAAGCAACTCCTTGGCCTCATCTAGGTTTCAGGGAGACTGATTGCCCTCCAAGAGATTTGAGAAAGTGATGCTTACCTTGACATGCTCTTCCATCTGCTGATATGGTCAGGCCTTTGGGACAGGAGCAGTAATAGGTTCCTACAACATTGTGGCATGTATGGGAACATGGCTTTTGAGTTGTACACTCATCTTCATCTAATGGTAAAAACAAAATTGAATAATTAACAGATAGCTAAGTACATAAGTATACAATCTGCAGCCCAGCAGCTTCATGCATCTGCTAGGAGATCATCTTCCATATCCCCAAATTCTGTTGCTCATAAGCAAGAAATTCCCGCAATGCTACCACCATTGCAAAAATAAGGGAAAGAAACAGCCAAGCTCCATCACACTGAAACTCCACCCAGATTGAAGATGCTGTTTGAACTCACTAAAAATATTACCAAGCAGAAAGCAAATAGAAAAGGAAAAACAAGCTTAAATTCAGTTTGGTTTAAAAGAATATGTTATATGACCAGAACCAGAGCCAGGACCTCCATATTCAGATTTGTTGCAAAAGCTAGTTTCAACATTCCAGGTACACCTGCCTGTTTATTTCCTTTGGCAGTTTTGGATTTTTCCACCATTGAAAATAACCCTTTTTGAATAAACACCCATAAGGACATTTGCACCAACTGCACTGTAGTATCTTTTTGTTTTGATAACTGAAAAGGTAGAAAAGCAGTCCATGAAAGAGAAAGGGGAATATTTGGCGTGCAGCAGTTTCTGCAATGGCCAGATTGCTGGCATCTTCTCACCTGAACAGTAGGAACCAGAAGAATCCAAACTAAACCCATTAGGGCACCGGTTGCTGTGGTCTCCTGTGGATGAAGGAAGTGAATGGTTATTCAGATTGACAAAACTTTTCTGTTACCATCAAACTTCTTTCAGAAGACGGTCACATCAAAGATGGAAGACACTTCTTTGTGGCCCCTAAAGGACTAATGGATGAAATGGCATGGAAACAGATTTTAACTAATCATAATGATAAAATAGTGCTTGACAATGGAGCAGATCGCACTGAAAGACGACAGGTTCTTCTTTATTAGAAATATTTAATTAGAGGCTAAACTGCTGTCTGTCAAGGTTACCAAAGCTGCATCTTATATTGCAAATTCTCTGTTGAGAAGAGAGTTGGGCTAGTGGAATTTCAAGGCTTGTTCCAGGGCTATGATTTCTATTATGGCAGTCCTTAATAGACTTGTTGTGCATCTTAGCTGAAAAAGTTTCTATTCAGAATTAAAATATTTACCCCAAAAGTACATCGTGTATCTCTATGAATCACATTTAAAAAATTAAGTCCAAAATAACATTTGTACTCAAGGTGCCTGTAAGAAAAGAACTTCTCCCCAAAAAAACTGAGGCTAGCAGGCCAGATGTTATGTCTACAGGAGACCTTCTGTCTTTATTAGCATTGAAAAAAAAGGTCACTTTCAATCTTTTGGGAAGATGCAAAAGGTCAGCATGAAACATGGAAATTTATGTTGGCCAATGACTAATACATCTTTGGTGCCCCATTGCTCAAATGTACCCAAAATTGTCAGGATGGATTAGATCATAATTTCTCAAAGGATAGTTGTATCTTAAAAAAACTTTATTTACAAAATAAACAAAAGGTAAGATGGTAAAACTTTTATAAGGACATGATTACTACGAAAGCATTCTAAGTTTGTGTGCAACCCATTATAAAGTATTTTATTTGAAGTGGGTTTTGTTTAGTTAAATGAGATTACATTAAGCTTTAGCATATGGATTGCCTCATTTTAATGGCTGTTTTTTTACTGACAGTTTTTCACATGTGATCTGACCTACATTGTAAAGAGGGGAAAGGGCAAAAGACATATTTTTGTATAAATTGTGTATGTACCTTCCTCAAAATCCATACCTTTTGTAATGGAAGCACCGATTTTAAAAGTCAGAGCTTCTTCAAGTGGGTTGTATTCTGTTTTGACAGAAGAGGCTTGAAGTGTTTCAACCAGGAAAGGCATTTTTCCATGATTTTGATCATAGGTAATGGTATGGTTCCAAGTGTAGGGTACACTGACCCCATCTATGCTGAAGAGTCGAGTGGAGTAAGCATAAAGCTGACCAGGGCCTGTCTGAATGTAATCTTCTGTATAATCCTAAAATGAACATCACAACATCAAATTTAGGAAACAGTAAATAGAATTCTCCTTGTTTGGCATGCAGAAATTCATATTTGTCTACACACAAGAAACGATTGCTACTTAAAATTCCAAATGATACTTATGTAGAGATGTGGTTTAAACAGATTGGTATTGATCCCAATTATTTGTTTTCTAGAGGAATGACATTAGTGTTTTATTATATTAAACAAACATAAGACAGCTCAGTAAAGGAATGAATGGCAAAAGACAAAGTTCTGTGTTTACCTCTGACTTTTGGAATAAATTAGAAATACACTTAAGGCACCAGGCTAGAAACTAGGAGATGGTGAGTTCTAGTCCTGCCTTGGGCATGAAGCCACCTGGGTGACCTTGGGCCAGTCACTTTCAGCCCTAGGAAGCAGGCAATGGCAAACCAGTTCTGGAAAAAAAAAACCTTGCCAAGAAAACTGCAGGGACTTGTCTAGGCAGTCGCCAGGAGTCAAAAACTGACTCAAAGGTATACACACACACACACACACACACAACCCTTAGTAGTTTACATTTTAAATAAATATAGAATAGCTTTTTCAAAAGCCAGATTAAATGTGTTGCCATCAAATAAACTATATGGTAGAGATGTTGTCCCTGTAATGCTATTGACTTTGAAACTGTGGGTCCTATTTTGCATTGTGAGTTTCGCAAGAGTTTCCAGCAGGATATGATCTTTCCTATTTTAAAATGAAGTCCTGGAAGAGATATTTCTGAATATGTTAAAAAATTTACTTGCAGAAAAAAAAAATCTAAAAATTATAGTAGCAACAGGCAAATGTTTGACCCTGGCTATAAAAAACAAATCCTCTACTAATACATTAGTAAGTTTAGGTTTTAAGTGTTTTATGTAATATTTATCAATTTATTTTATTTGTTAAACTTTTTAATCTAATGCCACACTTTTAGATTATATCTGTACTTTGTTATTCAGGTCTTTTGATTTATAACAACAGTAACAACAATAAAACACACATTTGAAAATTCAAGATTCCTCATTGTTTGCAATTGTCCTGTGATGGAACGCTGACATCGTATTAAAATCTACACTGGAAGGAAATTCAGCCCAACCTAGACAGAAATAAATACATAGAAGATGGCCTACAATAAGAAACATGAATCTTTTCTTTAAAAAGAAAAGAAGAGAAAAAGATATCTATTGCTTTTATATCCAAACCCAAAACAGTTCTCAAAGATGATTGTATTTATCCTTTCACAGTAGCCAGTGTCCCAGCCACATAATATCACACCAGTGATGAATTAATTTATTTTTTCCCAGTGGTTGGTTCCTGTTGGGACAGTAACCAGTCCCTCATGCTTAGTCCACATGCCCAGAAGGCAGAAATGTTCTGAGTCACATGCACAGATACCCCAGCACCTCCCTCTGCCAGAAGTAGAGAAGTATGGGCAATTGGAAGAAGCAAGTGGAAAGAGAGTGGGAATAAAACAGGGCTTTTATCATCCCCCCGCTTAATGTGGGATCTCTTCCCCAAGACTGAAAAAAGCTCAAGTAATTGAAGAAGATGAAACATTTGATTCAGGAGCCTTTTATTTCTGTAGAAATAAGTAAACTGTCTAGAGAGAAATATTGTGCTACATTTCATGTCTGGTTTTTGAGACTTTAGCACTCATGTTCTTATTTCTCTGTGCAAATTACAGAAGTGTGCTTCAGGCCGTGCTCATGGTTTTTAGAACGTATAGATCAATTTTTTTTTTTTTACAATCTTTTGAATATTTTTGTTTTAATTAAGTTATGAGCTTAACACTGTGATCTAGGGAGCTAGATCATTTATTTGCTTCAGCACTGAATGTTTGTATTTTAATATTTAAAGTTAAAAAAAAAAATCTGAATCCTCTAGCCACCACACTGTAATACTACATAGTCAGAAGGTGGCACTACAGAAGTTTTTAACTTTTTAATTGCCAAAAAGGCAGCACTAGGCATGATAGCTCTATCTCTCACACCCACCAGAATTAGGCAGTGGACGCCAAGTCAGATGCCCCCCTCCCTGAAAGATAGATGGCAGCAGCAAGAATTATCAAGTTTGCTATCCAAAGAAAGAGGTGGGGGCTGGGGTATGAAGGCCCACAGGGATTCTGGAAGAGGCAGTTTTGGACCTTCTAACCTACAGGTTCAGACTTTTGACACAGCATCTATTTCAGAATAATCTCTAAAAAAATGTTGTGTACCCCAAAGTCCATTCATGCATAAGCTCTGAAACAACAGTCTTTTCCTCCAGAAGTAACTTCATCAGTAAATAAGAAGCAAATAGTCTTGACAGGATGATAGAGACCAAATGGCTGCTAGACAAAGCAGCTGTTAAATAGGAGCACCAGTGGGGACATATCCTTAGAATGGAAGCCACCCGCCAGATAAAAATATGATGGAGCCCATTATTTGGCATTTCTGAACACAATATTTTGTTGCCTTCCTCAGTCTTTGGACAGTGCATACTAATAAATTTTAGTCAATGATCTTCATGGGAATATTTTACCATACTGGAGTTTTGACAAGCTTCAAAGATGCTAAAGAAGCCAAGAAAGAAGCCATTCTTTCTTAAATAACAAGCAGAATGATGAACAGTGGGCCTGAAAAACACTGCACAAGGAACAAACGCTCCAAGAGGACACACAAGCTTGCTGGAGATATGTAACAGAAAAAGAAAAAAAATCTACTTAAAAATAAATAAGAATTGTATGTAACATGGTCAGTTTCAATATTACTATGGAGCAGAAAAGTTAGGAGAAAAAAATGAACAATATGGGGCAAAACGTAGATTAATGACAATCTGTTTGAGCAGACCATGAAATTGTTCACTTGTGCCTACAATACCTCTTCAACATACATAACAGGCACTTTAATATGACATGGCTGAATATATAGCAAAGAATATCCTAATAATTTATACCTATGATTGCAGTAATATCTTGACTTACTTTTACATTAACATCAGCTGTTGACTGTAGCTGTAGTATGTGGCCACTGATAACAACATCCAAGAGTAAAGAACCATCGGAATCCAAACCACGGGCAACGTGAGTCATTTGTACGAACTCCCCTGTGAATTTCAACAATAGTTCTGATGAGTGAATGAAGCGAGCATGGGGTATATTTTCATAGGCCACCCTAAGTGTGAAATGAATTGGCATTGACATTTCCATTTAATGTAGAACTAAATGACTGTAAAATGAATTTCTGAAATGCATATTTGACAAGGATTACAGAAAGGCTTCTACCCAAAAATGCCAAAATCAAATTTATTAAAACATAAAAAGATTTAGAGGCAGATAAGTCTTTCTGCCCCAGTTGCCAATTTGTACAAATCTAGCAACTTCCACGTTATTCTAATTGTTTCATACTTTTTTTTTACCCTACTCTGGTTTGCGGATTCTTTTTTAAAACTATGCAGAAAAAGTTGCACACATACATTTAAATACACATATTTTAAAACACACTTTTTCTTATTGTACAGATTTCGTATAAATTTGTTGTTTGGAATGTACAAAGCAACATTTGGCTATCAAGGTATTACTGCAATTGGGATCATTCTGCAAGTTCACTTCTTTCTAGAATCATAAGTAAATTAATGATAAACAGTTCTAAAGAAAATGTTTTGTTTCTTATGCAAAATAAACATCTGTATCCTATTTTTACTAACCAGTAGCAAATTCTACTTGTGTTTCTCTCTTGAAAACTGCACTGGTGAGCGAAAAGCCATTCATAGCTTCGCCAATTTCTTTGGCTGTTGTCCAATAAATAGGACTCAGAATAGAAACCAGCACTCTCATTACAGGACCTTTAGGAGGAATAATATTATCATAAACATAGCATCTTTTTGATAGTTTTATCTTTTCTTTTTATGTTTTTCTTAATTACTTCCTAGAAGCAACTGCCCCTCACACTTGGCTTACAAAACGTTAAGATCATGAATATTTTTTCCTTTGTTCATGACTGCAATAAATAATTAATGAAAAGGACAGAATAAATAATAAATTACAAAGAATATATTGATATAAGCACAATGATCTGAGTGTGTTTGTGCACTTTCTGGTTTTCCCATACTGCTGTTGAAAGTCATGAGAGCACTCTACCCAGACAGAATGCTATTTGAAACTCACATAGGCCCTCAAAACGAATGAGTCTGAATTAGTTTTGTGCCATGCCCTTTTTCTAAATATTTCTACGCTCTTGGAAAGATAAGATGTGCCCTGTACTTAACAAATCCAAGGATGCATGACTTGGAGATATCCACTGTTGTAGCCATGATGAACACAAATCATTCTTCTTGATTTATGGTATTACAACTAAATTAAATGGTGTAAAGCTGATACATCTAAATAAAGTCTTAATGTATAAAAGGAACAGCCATACCAAGACTTGGAGGGATATTTGTAATTTTGGCTTGTGTTCTTATAATATTCTCCTCTGGACCATCTCTTACGGTAGCATTCAGGAAAGCGATTCCAAGCTCAACATTGTTAATATTTCCAATGATGCTTCCTCTAGCACGTGGGGGCCCACCTGCAGGGGACAGGAAAGGAAGGCAAAAGGAAGCACTTTCCCCCAAAATACACTATTAAATTCTAGAATTCATCTCTCTAATGATGGTAGAAAAAGTAACTAGACAAAAACATGGAGACAACTGGATAATAATATATTACTTCCAATATCAAGAGGCATATGTTTCTCAGTAGCAATTGCTAGGAGACACAAGCAGCTGGATGTTAGTGCATTCATGGACTTCCCATAGGTATCCAGAATGCAGGACTAGAGGAGCCTTTTTCACTCCACCTCTTCTTTTGTTTGGTTATATGCCTGTCTGGGAAATCTCTTAGACTGTAATATTTTAAAAAATCAAATCAAATATGGATATAGGGAGTCAAGTGCTGGTGTGAGCCCACAGTGTTCTCTTTGTTAGAGAACCATAAAATTAGACAGCACATCTATCAAAGTTCATCATTCTACCAGATCGGGTGTCCCTAGAGGGATATCCAGACCCTTTTTACGAGGTGCAAAGTCCTGTAGGTGAAAAGCAACTGTTCTTTAACACTGCTTGCTAACAGAATGTGGCAGGAAGGGAAGCAGAGTAAACTCCTGGAGGAATTCAGACAGGGTTTATGTAATTATTTGGTTAGGAAATTAGCCAAAACACCAGAGTATATTAATCATTCTGACACGTAAAACCACTCTGTGTTCTTCTGCCACATTTTAAGGAAAAAAACATTCCAGGTTTTGGCCACAAAAGTGACACCTGTATTTTTCAAACTTCATCAGATTTTTGCATATTCGTGTTATTTCAAGTGGTGGAGAAACAAGCAACTTCACTTGGATTACACAACAATTTAAATAACTTTCTAATACTTAGGAACCTTTCTGTACAGCTCTAATACAAAAGCAGTAATAAGAAATGTTTAGATTCATTTGCAAAAATTTGCCAGAAACTTTGAACAAATAGTTTCCAAATTCTTCTTTGAGTTTAGCTGAACATATTAAGCTCAAAGTTTGGTCTTTTAGTGAAGCACAAGATGACAGATCTGTAGTGTGAGAATTAATTCTTTCTAAGATTCACTATGTCTCTGCTGTAATTGTAAAAATGGAATATAATAGTCCAAGAGCTTATAGTACCAGCAAATGTCATGGGTCTGCAGCAGTATTAGAAATCAAGTGCTGTACTGTCCTCCTGTTCAGGAGCTTTAAAAGATGCCCTAAGTAAGTCTATCCATAGAGTCAGCAACATAGTACAGGTAGTCCTTGTTTAGCGACCACAACTGGAACCAGCAACTTGAAGTGGTCACTAAGTGAAACCACACCTGTGCTTATGTTCTTATTTCAGCTCTCCTTTGCTTTACAGACCTGCAAAGGTCATAAATGTGAAGACTGGTCACAAAGTTACTTTTTCTGCCATAACTTTAAACAGTCACTAAATGAGGCAGTCACTAAATGAGGACTACTTGTATTTTCTAGTGGTTATCAAGTAACCATACTTAAGACAATTTTAAAAAGTTGCTTTGACAGCTAGAAAGCATCAGAGTTTTGGCCTCCAACTATCATACTTTCCTTTCCTTTCCCAGTATGCTTTGGTGCAAGCTGGAAACTGAAGCATAGAGAGGAAACAATGGGAACCAGTGAGGATGTCAAGAAAGGTAGAGACTGTGCAGGGAAATCATTTTGAGAGAAAGGAGCAGGAAGAGCAATCCAGAAGGAGTTATATTACACAGGATAGGGATGATCTAAAGAAAAATGGGGGATGGGATGAGTCAATCTTATGTGCTAGAAATGTGTGTGACAGGGAGGGTGTTTACTGATCCTGAATAAGAAAAAGAAACGCACAGTCAATTCTCATTATTCGCGGATTCCACATTTGCAAATTTGCCTCCTCACTAAAATGTATTTGTAACCACAAAATTAATACTCGTGGTGCTTTCACAGTCATTCACGGACACGCACAGAGGGGTGAACAATTTGAGTCACTCGACGCACATGTTCCCAGCTGAGGTTGAACAAGACAATGTTCTGTCTTCTTGTTTCAGCTCTTGTACTGTAAGCAAGTGTCCTTTTCACGGTCTATTTAGTCCACATTTTTTGCATTTTTGTGCTAAAATATATATTAAATAAGTATCTCTAAACAGAAACACACATAAAAAAAGGTTATATGTTGATTGTTTGATGAAAATGATGTGATCAGAGCCTTGTAGGAACCTAACTCTGCATCTTCCCCAGGAGCAATATTCAGTATTGGCTAATTCAGTGTTCATGGCAACTTTATGGAACATAAGTACCATGAATAACGAGAATCAACTGTGCATTGAAATGAATGAGTTTGTATTTGGGGCTTCAGATTTTACCTATGATACACATTTTCTGCAAAACTTTTTTTTGTAATTGGCTTTGCCCATTATGGCAACCTTATATGAATATTTATCTTCCTATTTTTCAGAATTCATAAGATGCCAGTGGCTCAAACATTTTGGCAGTTTTGATAAAACTTAATATTTTCTACTCTATTGGCCTCCAGATAAAGAACCTTTTATAGCCCTTAGGTTTGACCTTTTCTTAGCCATTCCTATTCTTTTATGTTCTCATTTGAACACCAAACTCAAGAAATACAGAGCTCTTTGTCTCTTTACTCTTTTTTCCCTCTGCATCTAAAAGAATAACATGCTAAGTGTCCTCCAATCTGTATTAATATGCAAGATGAACCTTTTTTGTGGAAAACATTACAGGAAAGAGAATGGAAAGAAACATGCAATAGGACCAGCTCTGCGTCATTTACAATTTAGTTCAGCTCTTAAGGCCCTAAGCCTATTGTACAAACAGTGAAGGATTTACATTACAAATTTCAACATGTACGACTGCTGATTATAATAGTGTTGAATGCATTCAGTGAATAGACAGGATCTGCATTCATTACAATAAAAGATAAAATTGGACAATAGCACCTTCCATCTTAAGATATTGTTTGCCTTAGGAGAAAGTGTTACGTTTCTTCTCAAAGCCGCTGCAATCCCAGTAATTATTAACCCCTCCAGCTCATGCTGTTTAAATTTAAGAACCAAAAGTAAAAGATTCATTAAAGCAAACGTTTACTATGACATTGTAGTTTACTGTCAATCTAGTAGTAACTCATATAGGAAAAGTCTGATATCCAAGTTTTATTTATGAAAAATTATTGCCAGATTAGGATTCTGAATGTACTTTCTTCCTGTTTGGAAAGTAGCACTAATATGGCCATAACATCAATGCTTCACCCTCTCCCCAACATTTGAGACATAGATCTGGGTATGCACATGTACCTGGACAAGCCTGAATGTTACACCTGGATACTTGAGCCTCGTCTCCAGGGCAAGGACGTCCATTGTTAGAGAGGGATGGGTTGTTGCACAACCGGGATCGGATCTTTTCCCCTCCTCCACAAGAAGCTGAACATGTGCTCCAAGGCTGCCATGGACCCCAGTTTCCATCCACTGTAAACCAGTGCAGAAGTATATTAAAAAAATAATATGAGCTGAGATTGTCCCCCTGTGGACAAGGGGCTATTGAAACTAAAGCACACGTCCTGTAATACTGTATTTTCTATAAGGACTCACAAACCCATTTAATAACTCCTCACCTGATAAAATATCCAGGAAATTCTGATCTTTTTTATGTCCAGTTGTTGCTATCTGATCAGA